ATGGGCATTGGTTAAAGGTAGTGCACTACATAGGGAATAAGGTGACATTTAGGACTTAACCTTGATCATCATCATCATAACTTCAGTTAACTGCTGACAGCTGTCCTACAGGGAAAACTTCTGACAGAGCCATTCTTCCAGTAGGGGAAGGCAACACTGGGTTATTTAGTATCAGATACGTTGGTAGCTAAATGTTGCTTTTTCTATTTTCCAGTAAATTACATGTGGTCTATACAAACGCACGGATACACACACACACACACACACACACACACACACACACACACACACACACACACACATACATACAGTGAGGGAAAAAAGTTTTTGATCCCCTGCTGATGTTGTATGTTTGCCCACTGACAAAGAAATGATCAGTCTATAATTTTAATGGTAGGTTTATTTGAACAGTGAGAGACAGAATAACAACAAAATAATCCAGAAAAACGCATGTCAAAAATGTTATAAATTGATTTGCATTTTAATGAGGGAAATTTGTATTTGACCCCCTCTCAATCAGAAAGATTTCTGGCTCCCAGGTGTCTTTTATACAGGTAACGAGCTGAGATTTGGAGCACACTCTTAAAGGGAGTGCTCCTAATCTCAGCTTGTTACCTGTATAAAAAGAAACCTGTCCACAGAAGCAATCAATCAATCAGATTCCAAACTCCCCACCATGGCCAAGACCAAAGAGCTCTCCAAGGATGTCAGGGACAAGATTGTAGACCTACACAAGGCTGGAATGGGCTACAAGACCATCGCCAAGCAGCTTGGTGAGAAGGTGACAACAGTTGGTGCGATTATTCGCAAATGGAAGAAACACAAAATAACTGTCAATCTCCCTTGGCCTGGGGCTCCATGCAAGATCTCACCTCGTGGAGTTGCAATGATCATGAGAACGGTGAGGAATCATCCCAGAACTACACAGGAGGATCTTGTCAATGATCTCAAGGAAGCTGGGACCATAGTCACCAAGAAAATAATTGGTAACACACTACGCCATGAAAGACTGAAATCCTTCAGCGCCGGCAAGTTCCCCCTGCTCAAGAAAGCACATATACAGGCCAGTCTGAAGTTTGCCAATGAACATCTGAATGATTCAGAGGAGAACTTGGTGAAAGTGTTGTGGTCAGATGAGACCAAAATCGAGCTCTTTGGCATCAACTCAACTCGCCGTGTTTGGAGGAGGAGGAATGCCGCCTATGACCCCAAGAACACCATCCCCACCGTCAAACATGGAGGTGGAAACATTATGCTTTGGGGGTGTTTTTCTGCTAAGGGGACAGGACAACTTCACCGCATCAAAGGGACGATGGACGGGGCCATGTACCATCATATCTTGGGTGAGAACCGCCTTCCCTCAGCCAGGGCATTGAAAATGGGTTGTGGATGGGTATTCCAGCATGACAATGACCCAAAACACACGGCCAAGGCAACAAAGGAGTGGCTCAAGAAGAAGCACATTAAGGTCCTGGAATGACCTAGCCAGTCTCCAGACCTTAATCCCATAGAAAATCTGTGGAGGGAGCTGAAGGTTCGAGTTGCCAAACATCAGGCTCGAAACCTTAATGACTTGGAGAAGATCTGCAAAGAGGAGTGGGACAAAATCCCTCCTGAGATGTGTGCAAACCTGGTGGCCAACTACAAGACACGTCTGACCTCTGTGATTGCCAACAAGGGTTTTGCAACCAAGTACTAAGTCATGTTTTGCAGAGGGGTCAAATACTTATTTCCCTCATTAAAATGCAAATCAATTTATAACATTTTTGACATGCGTTTTTCTGGATTTTATTGTTGTTATTCTGCCTCTCACTGTTCAAATAAACCTAACATTAAAATTATAGACTGATCATGTCTTTGTCAGTGGGCAAACTTACAAAATCAGCAGGGGATCAAATACTTTTTTCCCTCACTGTACATACATACATACATACACACACACACACACACACATACACACACACACACCACACACACACACACACACACACACACACACCAGACACACGCAAACACACACACATACACAAACACATACAACACCATACAACACACACACACACAGACACACACACACACACACACACACACACCCAACACGACACACGCAACCACACACACCATACACAACACACATACAAACACACACATACACACACACACACAGACCCCACTACTGCATTAATTCACAGGATCATGGAAGTGTTCTAGGGTCAGTTATGGTGAAGTGGCTACTATTTAGTCCCCCACACACACACACACACGAGCACACACACACACACACACATCACAACACACACACACACACCACACACACACACACACACACACACACACACACACGCAACACACCCAACATAACAAAACACACACGCAAAACCACACACAGCACACACAGCCAACAGAGCAGCACCACACACACACTACTCAAAAGACACACACACCCAAACACACACGACCACCACACGACGAGGACACAAATAGCACACACCCAACACACACATACCACAAACCCACACCCAGCACCCACACACCCACACACCACAACACATACACCCACATCCAACACACACACAAAAATCCACACACACAAAACACATACACACACACCCACACACACACACCACAGTACCACACACCATACCACACACACACACCCCAGCTGTGGGAATGGTGACACTCGGTCCCACCCAGTTATTAGCCCCCACAGTGTACCACCCGGCACCAACTGCCATTGTCACAGAGACTTACGAGACCCGGCCTGAACCCCAAAGAGCAAACAAAGCAGAAGGGAAAACACAGTGACCATGAAATCTCCCCAGACATAGAAGTGAATAAATGAGTTACATTCAGTAGTGTGAACGACTCAGTCAGGGGAGACAGAACGATCTCCCTGGTCAGAACCATAAGAGAGTCATTGTGGCCAGTTAGATGGTGGGATTTGAAGTCAACAGCTGAAGAAACCCAGACCATACCAGAGCCTTCGTCTTAACAGCGTCTCAACAGACACATTCTGCTTCTCCACTCAATAACACATGAGAATAGCGTAGAGTAGAGCCAACCTCTGACTCAATGGTATATGAACACCATACATCACACGCTACACAGCTTCCTTTTTCATTGAAACCACAATGGTACTAACTGTACCGGTTTCCAGGAATCCCTCTAAAACCATAAAGCCTCCTTTGTATAATTCAACGTACAGTAGGCATGACGAAATCAACAGCAAATATACACTAGTATACAATAATACAAGACTAATAACTTGCTTGTACTTACAGGTCAAGTCTTGAATAACAGATCCCTATGGCAGCAGTAGGCTGCAGTGTCTGCAGAGACTCTCTCTCTCTCACTCTCCTCAGATAGCCTTGAGAACACACAACACGCAGGACTCCTCTGGCCTTTACCCTCCTTCCTACCCCTCTCTCTTCCCTTTTACCCCTCCTACCCCCCCTCTCCCCACTCCCCCTCTCCCTACCCCCTCCCCTACCCTCCTTCCACCCCCTCCCTCCCCCCTCTCCCCTTCCTCCTACCCCCTCCTATCCCTCCCACCCCCCACCAGGGAGCCTGGGAGTCACCCATACATTAGTGGGAGTGTTTCACATCTAACCCAGCAGTCTTTGATAAGATACCACAGAAGAAGTCAAGGACTACATCCCAAATAGCACCCTATTTCCTATATAGTACAGTATATTTCACCAGACTTTTGACCTATGGGTCCTGGTTGTCCAAAAGTAGTGCAGTAGATAGGTAATGGTGTGTCATTTGGGAGGTAGACAGAGACGTATTCCCCGGTCTCAGACATGACTCTAGTTGGGTCTCTTCTCTTTCTCACCCATGGTGGTGGCATGTTTATCACCCATGGTGCTGTCATGTTATCACCCATGTTGGTGTCATGTATTTTGGGCACCGAGATCTCTAGATTGATGACCTCGTGAACAAATACACACACAGCTATACACACAAGCACACACACACACACACACACACAGCTATACACACAAGCACACACACACTAACCTCTACTTTGGGGTGTTTTCTAACCACATGTTGATAATGGGTGCAGAAAGGTAGGACCAACTTAGTCTACATTCAACTATTCCAAAGTGTTTTTACATTTAGGATAATTTCACGGTCTTTACTCATTAGGGATAACCTCTCAATGAAGCAAATATCGTACAATAAATGCAATGTATATCAAACTCCCCAGTCTGTTACATACAGAAGTAGTGAACTGACTATCTCTAGTGGCTTTGTGAACAGACATCGTCTGGATGTAAGGGGGGACCTAGCCCTAGCTGTTCCTAGAACAGCCGCTATACACACACACACAGACGCACACAGACACACACTCCCATGTATTCTACTACACACCCTCAGGAAGTGTAGGAACCACCTGTCATGACCCCTACATGTACCCCCTGTTGTGGGGACGACTCAGCCCCGGCCTCTGCTAACACAAAAGACACTGTCTTCCCCACGCGGCAGCAGCACAGGTGGCAGGAGGAGGCAAAGTGGAGTAACGGCACAGACTGACTCCCTCAGAGCACACTCACAGGCTCTGTTCCAAATCACACCCTAAAGCCTATTTAATGTGCTACTTTTAACCAGAGCCCTATGGGTTTAAAAAGGAAGTGCCATTTGGGACACAAAATACAGTCATCTGGTGAACTGGCTGGGAGGGTGTCAGGGAAAGACCACTGTATGATATAGGCTGACTGACTGGGATACTGGGATACTGGTAGAAAGGATGTGGGATACTGGTAGAAAGGATGTGGGATACTGGTAGAAAGGATGTGGGATACTGGTAGAAAGGATAGCAAAACATTCCTAACATTACCTTTTACATTTTACTCTTTTACAATTCAGTACCTTTTTACAGTGCATGGCACACTCCTCTGTAGCTAGCCTGATCCCAGATCTGTTCTCTTGTCAACTCCAAGAGAGCAGAAAAATACTACTGGCACCCAGGCTGGTCTGTAGTTACTGAAGACACAGGCTGGTCTGTAGTTACTGAAGACCCAGGCTGGTCTGTAGTTACTGAAGACCAAGATCCAGGCTGGTCTGTAGCTACTGAAGACCAAGACCCAGGCTGGTCTGTAGTTACTGAAGACCCAGGCTGGTCTGTAGCTACTGAAGACCAAGATCCAGGCTGGTCTGTAGCTACTGTAAACCAAGACCCAGGCAGGTCTGTAGTTACTGAAGACCAAGATCCAGGCTGGTCTGTAGCTACTGAAAACCAAGACCCAGGCAGGTCTGTAGTTACTGAAGACCAAGATCCAGGCTGGTCTGTAGCTACTGAAAACCAAGACCCAGGCAGGTCTGTAGTTACTGAAAACCAAGACCCAGGCGGATCTGTAGCTACTGAAGACCCAGGCTGGTCTGTAGTTACTGAAGACCCAGGCTGGTCTGTAGTTACTGAAGACCCAAGCTGGTCTGTAGTTACTGAAGACCAAGACCCAGGCTGGTCTGTAGTTACTGAAAACCAAGACCCAGGCAGGTCTGTAGTTACTAAAAACCAAGACCCAGGCTGGTCTGTAGTTACTGAAGACCCAGGCTGGTCTGTAGTTACTGAAGACCCAGGCTGGTCTGTAGTTAATGAAAACCAAGACCCAGGCAGGTCTGTAGTTACTGAAAACCAAGACCCAGGCGGATCTGTAGCTACTGAAGACCCAGGCTGGTCTGTAGTTACTGAAGACCCAGGCTGGTCTGTAGTTACTGAAGACCCAAGCTGGTCTGTAGTTACTGAAGACCAAGACCCAGGCTGGTCTGTAGTTACTGAAAACCAAGACCTAGGCAGGTCTGTAGTTACTAAAAACCAAGACCCAGGCTGGTCTGTAGTTACTGAAGACCCAGGCTGGTCTGTAGTTACTGAAAACCAAGACCCAGGCAGGTCTGTAGTTACTGAAAACCAAGACCCAGGCGGATCTGTAGCTACTGAAGACCCAGGCTGGTCTGTAGTTACTGAAGACCCAGGCTGGTCTGTAGTTACTGAAGACCCAAGCTGGTCTGTAGTTACTGAAGACCAAGACCCAGGCTGGTCTGTAGTTACTGAAAACCAAGACCCAGGCAGGTCTGTAGTTACTAAAAACCAAGACCCAGGCTGGTCTGTAGTTACTGAAGACCCAGGCTGGTCTGTAGTTACTGAAGACCCAGGCTGGTCTGTAGTTACTGAAAACCAAGACCCAGGCAGGTCTGTAGTTACTGAAAACCAATACCCAGGCGGATCTGTAGTTACTGAAGACCCAGGCTGGTCTGTAGCTACTGAAGACCCAGGCTGGTCTGTAGTTACTGAAGACCCAGGCTGGTCTGTAGTTACTGAAGACCCAAGCTGGTCTGTAGTTACTGAAGACCAAGACCCAGGCTGGTCTGTAGTTACTGAAAACCAAGACCCAGGCAGGTCTGTAGTTACTAAAAACCAAGACCCAGGCTGGTCTGTAGTTACTGAAGACCCAGGCTGGTCTGTAGTTACTGAAGACCCAGGCTGGTCTGTAGTTACTGAAAACCAAGACCCAGGCAGGTCTGTAGTTACTGAAAACCAAGACCCAGGCGGATCTGTAGCTACTGAAGACCCAGGCTGGTCTGTAGTTACTGAAGACCCAGGCTGGTCTGTAGTTACTGAAGACCCAAGCTGGTCTGTAGTTACTGAAGACCAAGACCCAGGCTTTTCTGTAGTTACTGAAAACCAAGACCTAGGCAGGTCTGTAGTTACTAAAAACCAAGACCCAGGCTGGTCTGTAGTTACTGAAGACCCAGGCTGGTCTGTAGTTACTGAAAACCAAGACCCAGGCAGGTCTGTAGTTACTGAAAACCAAGACCCAGGCGGATCTGTAGCTACTGAAGACCCAGGCTGGTCTGTAGTTACTGAAGACCCAGGCTGGTCTGTAGTTACTGAAGACCCAAGCTGGTCTGTAGTTACTGAAGACCAAGACCCAGGCTGGTCTGTAGTTACTGAAAACCAAGACCCAGGCAGGTCTGTAGTTACTAAAAACCAAGACCCAGGCTGGTCTGTAGTTACTGAAGACCCAGGCTGGTCTGTAGTTACTGAAGACCCAGGCTGGTCTGTAGTTACTGAAGACCCAGGCTGGTCTGTAGTTACTGAAGACCAAGACCCAGGCTGGTCTGTAGTTACTAAAGACCAATAAATTAATATAAAAGTGTTTTGGTCAGGCTCTATCACACTCCAGTGAGAGGAAGCTGTCCACTTGATAAGCTGACAACCACAAGGATACTTCAGACTACAATATCCTGTTCTTAGCTAGATTATCTTTACTGGACCAGCGACAGAGCAACAATCATTCATAGTGGAATGACCTTCCCAGACATGGATTAAGTTTAGTTTTGGACTAAAAAGCATGCTCAATGGAGAAGCTCAATCAAAAATGCTTTTTAGAGTATAGGCCTAAACAAGACGTAAGAAATTACACGAGTGACTGTCCTCATTGCCTTTACCTAAAAACAACTTTGTTCTTCCTCAACATTTGCTTGAACAGCAATTAATGAGCCTCACCAACCATAACCACCAGGTCTTCAAAGAGAACCTTTGAACAATAACTTCTACATAACAGACTTGTCGCAACAACACCACAAATCAATCTGAAGCCAAACTAAAGCCCAAACTAATATGACTGACTTAAAGACTCTTCTGTTCAGTCCTCCAGCCAGAACAAATATTACCACTCAGCTTATTCTGTTGCTCATGCTTTGAAGTCTCAACCTAAAACAACACATTGGGGAGGAGGAGGAGGCAGATGAGGTGGAGGAGGAAGTGGAGGAGGAGGAGGAGGTGGAGGAAGAGGGGGAGGAGGGGGAGGAGGAGGAGGTGGAGGAGGAGGAAGAGGTGGAGGTATAGGAGGAGGGGGAGGGGGAGGAGGAGGAGGAGGTGGAGGAGGAGGAAGAGGTGGAGGAGGAGGAGGAGGAGGAGGGGGGAGGAGGAGGAGGAGGGGGAGGAGGAGGAGGAGGAGGGGGAGGAGGAGGGGGAGGAGGAGGGGGAGGAGGAGGAGGAGGTGGAGGAGGAGGAAGAGGTGGAGGTGGAGGTGGAGGAGGAGGGGGAGGGGGGGGGGGAGGAGGGAGGAGGAGGAGGAGGAGGAGGAGGGGGAGGAGGAGGGGGAGGAGGAGGAGGTGGAGGAGGAGGAGGAGATGTTTCACGGTTGGTTTCCTCTACTGTTCTCAGCTGACAGCTGTCTAACCATCTAACCCAGGTGGCCTGAGGAGGTCTAGCGGTCTAAGCCACTGCCTCCAGAATACATGTACTAGTGAATGCGTGGGTTAGAATCCAACCCACTGCTATTCTGGCACACTGTCTCCCCTATCTTTCCTGCCAGGAGAAATTGTAACCCAGAGAGGAGCAGCCCCCAAAGACCCAGGGAGATTCTCATTTGGCAAAAGCTCATCCCCTCCTCGACTCCTCCGTCCTCTCTCCCCCGTGACCCGGAAACCGATAGGTGGTCGAGTGGTCGAGGAGAGTGTCAATTAGTTAGTAAGCGAACTGAGGAGTGTCCTCGCCTCATTGATAGCCTCCTCCCACTGAGGAAGCACAAGAGTATCCTACCTGAGTCATTCGCAGAATAATTTTGAATCCCCTTTGAACCGCCTTTGAATCAGCTGTTGTTTACTCAGAGGGGAAAAGCATGAACATATTTAAAAACAATATCCTACTAATTATTTTATCTATAAAATGTCTAGTACAACTAGCTACATGGCTTTTTACTACTTGATACATTTAATTTGGGATTCCACCCCTGGAAACGTAATGACGCGCCAGTGAAGAAGGAGAGTTTCATTTCATTTGGGATTCCACCCCTGGAAACGTCATGACGCGCCAGTGAAAAAGGAGTCTAATTTCCTTTGGGATTCCACCCCTGGAAACGTCATGACGCGCCAGTGAAGAAGGAGAGTCTCATTTCCTTTGGGATTCCACCCCTGGAAACGTCATGACGCGCCAGTGAAGAAGGAGTCTAATTTTCTTTTGGGATTCCACCCCTGGAAACGTCATGACGCACCAGTGAAGAAGGAGAGTCTCATTTCCTTTGGGATTCCACCCCTGGAAACGTCATGACGTGCCAGTGAAGAAGGAGAGTCTCATTTCATTTGGGATTCCACCCCTGGAAACGTCATGACGCGCCAGTGAAGAAGGAGTCTAATTTCCTTTGGGATTCCACCCCTGGAAACGTAATGACGCGCCAGTGAAGAAGGAGAGTTTCATTTCATTTGGGATTCCACCCCTGGAAACGTCATGATGCGCCAGTGAAGAAGGAGAGTTTCATTTCCTTTGGGATTCCACCCCTGGAAACGTCATGACGCACCAGTGAAGAAGGAGAGTTTCATTTCATTTGGGATTCCACCCCTGGAAACGTCATGACGCGCCAGTGAAGGAGTCTAATTTCCTTTGGGATTCCACCCCTGGAAACGTCATGACGCGCCAGTGAAAAAGGAGTCTAATTTCCTTTGGGATTCCACCCCTGGAAACGTCATGACGCGCCAGTGAAGAAGGAGAGTTTCATTTCCTTTGGGATTCCACCCCTGGAAACGTCATGACGCGCCAGTGAAGAAGGAGAGTCTCATTTCCTTTGGGATTCCACCCCTGGAAACGTCATGACGCGCCAGTGAAGAAGGAGAGTCTCATTTCATTTGGGATTCCACCCCTGGAAACGTCATGACGCGCCAGTGAAGAAGGAGTCTAATTTCCTTTGGGATTCCACCCCTGGAAACGTCATGACGCGCCAGTGAAGAAGGAGTCTAATTTCCTTTGGGATTCCACCCCTGGAAACATCATGACGCGCCAGTGAAGAAGGAGAGTCTCATTTGCTTTGGGATTCCACCCCTGGAAACGTTATGACGCGCCAGTGAAGAAGGAGTCTAATTTCCTTTGGGATTCCACCCCTGGAAACGTCATGACGCGCCAGTGAAGAAGGAGTCTAATTTCCTTTGGGATTCCACCCCTGGAAACGTCATGACGCGCCAGTGAAGAAGGAGAGTCTCATTTCCTTTGGGATTCCACCCCTGGAAACGTCATGACGCGCCAGTGAAGAAGGAGAGTTTCATTTCATACCAGTGCATTTGTTTACACATTTCCTCTCCTCCCCTCCTCTCCTCGGTTACCTTTGACCTTTTTCAAAAGGAGGCGAGGAGGATGGAGGAGTTGAGCAAACCAATTGAGAATCTCCCCTAGTCCTGGAGAAGCATGACAGGTCCCATCAGCTACTCTGCTGTGTGAATCTCCCCTAGTCCTGGAGGAGCATGACAGGTCCCACCAGCTACTCTGCTCTGTGAATCTCCCCTAGTCCTGGAGGAGCATGACAGGTCCCACCAGCTACTCTGCTCTGTGAATCTCCCCTAGTCCTGGAGGAGCATGACAGGTCCCATCACCTACTCTGCTCTGTGAATCTCCCCTAGTCCTGGAGGAGCATGACAGGTCCCATCAGCTACTCTGCTCTGTGTGAACACTGCAACACAAAATCCTGATGAAGGCTAAGGGCTGAAACGTGTTAGTTTTACTATTAACAATAAATAACCACTTTTATCAACTTCCACTGTCCTTCAAGAGTTGCTCAACTCTTCAGTGAGGCGTGACTCAGCCTTCTTATCTGGCCCCATCTCCTGCACCACCTGCCCCCCTCTTACCTCCTGCCCCCCTCTAACAACCTGATGATTAACATGTGTAGTGAAGATACTGTGGTGATTCACATGTGTAGTGAAGATACTGTGGTGATTAACATGGTAGTGAAGTTACTGTGGTGATTAACATGTGTAGTGTGTAGTGAAGATACTGTGGTGATTAACATGTGTAGTGAAGATACTGTGGTGATTAACATGTGTAGTGAAGATACTGTGGTGATTAACATGTGTAGTGAAGATACTGTGGTGATTACCATGTGTAGTGAAGATACTGTGGTGATTAACATGTGTAGTGAAGATACTGTGGTGATTAACATGTGTAGTGAAAATACTGTGGTGATCACCATGTGTAGTGAAGATACTGTGGTGATTACCATGTGTAGTGAAGATACTGTGGTGATTACCATGTGTAGTGAAGATACTGTGGTGATCACCATGTGTAGTGAAGATACTGTGGTGATTAACATGTGTAGTGAAAATACTGTGGTGATTAACATGGTAGTGAAGTTACTGTGGTGATTAACATGTGTAGTGTGTAGTGAAGATACTGTGGTGATTAACATGTGTAGTGAAGATACTGTGGTGATTAACATGTGTAGTGAAGATACTGTGGTGATTCACATGTGTAGTGAAGATACTGTGGTGATTAACATGTGTAGTGAAGATACTGTGGTGATTAACATGTGTAGTGTGTAGTGCAAATACTGTGGTGATTATCATGTGTAGTGAAGATACTGTGGTGATTAACATGTGTAGTGAAGATACTGTGGTGATTATCATGTGTAGTGAAGATACTGTGGTGATTAACATGTGTAGTGTGTAGTGAAGATACTGTGGTGATTAACATGTGTAGTGAAGATACTGTGGTGATTAACATGTGTAGTGAAAATAATGTGGTGATTAACATGGTAGTGAAGATACTGTGGTGATTAACATGTGTAGTGAAGATTCTGTGGTGATTACCATGTGTAGTGAAGATACTGTGGTGATTATCATGTGTAGTGAAGATACTGTGGTGATTAACATGTGTAGTGAAGATACTGTGGTGATTAACATGTGTAGTGAAGATACTGTGGTGATTAACATGTGTAGTGAAGATACTGTGGTGATTATCATGTGTAGTGAAGATACTGTGGTGATTAACATGTGTAGTGAAGATACTGTGGTGATTAACATGTGTAGTGAAGATACTGTGGTGATTAACATGTGTAGTGAAGATACTGTGGTGATTAACATGTGTAGTGAAGATACTGTGGTGATTAACATGTGTAGTGAAGATACTGTGGTGATTAACATGTGTAGTGAAGTTACAGACAGATACAGGAGGATTTAGATAGATACCAGCCATACCACATTAGGGTCAAACAGGAGAATACTGTCATGGTCGTTGAAGGACGGGTCAGACCAAGGCGCAGCGTGAAATGCATCCATGTTTATTAAACCGAATAAACATGCAAAACAACAACAGGCAACGAAACGTGACGTCGGAAGGCTATACACACACAAGCCAAACTCACCGAGCACAAAACAAGATCCCACAACATAGGCAGGAAAACTGGTTGCCTAAGTATGATCCCCAATCAGAGACAACGAGCGACAGCTGCCTCTGATTGGGAACCACACCCGGCCAAACATAGAAATACAAACATAGAATCAACACACACGATATTCACACCCTGACCAAACTAACTAGAGTTCTATAGGTCAGGGCGTGACAAATACTATAGTGATATATAGCCAAAGAGCTATTCTCTGTGTATATCAATGATGTCGCTCTTGCTGCTGGTGACGCTCGGATCCACCTCTATGCGGACGACACCATTTTGTATACATCTGGCCCTTCATTGGACACTGTGTTAACAAACCTCCAAACGAGCTTCAATGCCATACAACACTCCTTCCGTAGCCTCCAACTGCTCTTAAACACTAGTAAAACTAAATGCATGCTCTTCAACCGAACGCTGCTTGCACCCACCCACCCGACTAGAATCACTACTCTCGGCGGGTCTGACCTAGAGTATGTGGACAACTACAAATACCTAGGTGTCTGGTTAGACTGTAAACTCTCCTTCCAGACTCACATTAAGCATCTCCAATCAAAAGTTAGATCTAGGAGGCTTTGATCCATTTCGCAACAAAGCCTCCTTCACTCATGCTGCCAAACATGCCCTCGTAAAACTGACTATTCCTACCGATCCTTGACTTCGGCGATGTCATTTACAAAATAGCCTCCAACACCCTACTCAGCAAATTGGATGTAGTCTATCACAGTGCCATCCGTTTTGTCACCAAAGCCCCATATACTACCCACCATTGTGACCTGTACGCTCTTGTTGGCTGGCCCTCACTACATATTCGTCGCCAAACCCACTGGCTCCAGGTCATCTATAAATCACTGCTAGGCAAATCCCCGTCTTATCTTAGCTCACTGGTCACCATAGCAACACCCACCCGTAGTCTGCGCTCCAGCAGGTATATCTCATTGGTCATCCCCAAAGCCAACACCTCCTTTGGCCGCCATTCCTTCCAGTTCTCTGCTGCCAATGACTGGAACGAACTGCAAAAATCTCTGAAGCTGGAGACTCTTATCTCCCTCACTAATTTTAAGCATCAGTTGTCAGAGCACCTTACCGATCACTGCACCTGTACACAGCCTTTCTGAAATTAGCCCACCCAACTACCTCATCCCATATTGTTATTTATTTTGCTAATTTGCACCCCAGTATCTCTATTTGCACATCATCTCTTGCATCTATCATTCCAGTGTTATTACGAAATTGTAACTATTTTGCACTATGGCCTATTTATTGCCTTACCTCCATAACTTACTACATTCGCACACACTGTATATATATTTTCTGTTGTATTTTTGACTTTATGTTTTGTTTACCCCATATGTAACTCTGTGTTGTTGTTTTTGTCGCACTGCTTTGCTTTATCTTGGCCAGGTCGCAGTTGTAAATAAGAAACTTGTTCTCACTGGCCTTACCTGGTTAAATAAAGGTGAAATAAAATAAAATAAAATAATAAAATAAATCCACCATTTAAAGTACTGTTTGTAGAGATAGCTAGCCAAATCACAGCTTAATACTGTCTTTAGAGATATATAGCCCAAATCACAGGCTTAATACTGTTCTGTAGAGATATATAGCCAAAGCACTTTTAATACTGTGCTGTAGGATATATAGCCAAATCACATGTTTAATATTGTTATGTAGAGATAGTAGCCCTAATCAAACATTTAATATTGTTATTAGAGATATATAGCCCACATCACATGTTTTAATAATTGTTATGTAGAGATATAGCCAATCCACGTTTAATATTGTTTATGTAGAGATATATAGCCAATCAACAGGCTTCATACTGTTCTGTAGAGATTTAGCCAATCACCAGTCACACACGTCTTAATACTGTTCTGTAGAGCATATATAGCAAATCACATTTAATATGTTATGTAGAGATTATAGCCAAATCACATGTTAATATTGTTATGTAGAGATATATAGCCAAATCACATTGTTTAATATGTTCTGTAGAGATATATAGCCAAATCACATGTTTAATATTGTTGTAGAGATATATAGCCAAATCACATGTTTAATATTGTTATGTAGAGATATATAGCCAAATCACATGTTTAATATTGTTATGTAGAGATATATAGCCAAATCACATGTTTAATATTGTTATGTAGAGATATATAGCCAAATCACATGTTTAATATTGTTATGTAGAGATATATAGCCAAATCACATGTTTAATATTGTTATGTAGAGATATATAGCCAAATCACATGTTAATATTGGTATGTAGAGATATATAGCCCAAATCACATGTTTAATATTGTTATGTAGAGATATATAGCCAAATCACACATTTAAAATTGTTATGTAGAGATATATAGCCAAATCACACATTTAATATTGTTATGTAGAGATATATAGCCAAATCACATGTTTAATATTGTTATGTAGAGATATATAGCCAAATCACACATTTAATATTGTTATGTAGAGATATATAGCCAAATCACACATTTAATACTGTTCTGTAGAGATATATAGCCAAATCACAAGCTTAATACTGTTCTGTAGAGATATATAGCCAAATCACATGTTTAATATTATTATGTAGAGATATATAGCCAAATCACATGTTTAATATTGTTATGTAGAGATATATAGCCAAATCACACATTTAATACTGTTCTGTAGAGATATATAGCCAAATCACAGGCTTATTACTGTTCTGTAGAGATATATAGCCAAATCACACGTTTAATATTGTTATGTAGAGATATATAGCCAAATCACACGTTTAATATTGTTATGTAGAGATATATAGCCAAATCACACGTTTAATACTGTTCTGTAGAGATATATAGCCAAATCACACGTTTAATATTGTTATGTAGAGATATATAGCCAAATCCCACGTTTAATATAGTTATGTAGAGATATATAGCCAAATCACATGTTTAATATTGTTATTTACATTTACATTTACGTCATTTAGCAGACGCTCTTATCCAGAGCGACTTACAAATGCAGAGATATATAGCCAAATCACATGTTTAATATTGTTATGTAGAGATATATAGCCAAATCACACGTTTAATATAGTTATGTAGAGATATATTGCCAAATCACATGTTTAATATTGTTATGCAGAGATATATAGCCAAATCACATGTTTAATATTGTTATGTAGAGATATATAGCCAAATCCTAGGCTTAATACTGTTCTGTAGAGATATATAGCCAAATCACAGGCTTAATACTGGTAAGTAGAGATATATAGCCAAATCACAGGCTTAATACTGTTCTGTAGAGATATATAGCCAAATCACACGTTTAATATTGTTATGTAGAGATATATAGCCAAATCACACGTTTAATACTGTTCTGTAGAGATATATAGCCAAATCACACGTTTAATATTGTTATGTAGAGATATATAGCCAAATCACACATGTAATATTATTATGTAGAGATATATAGCCAAATCACATGTGTAATATTGTTATGTAGAGATATTTAGCCAAATCACATGTTTAATATTGTTATGTAAAGATATATAGCCAAATCACATGTTTAATATTGTTATGTAGAGATATATAGCCAAATCACATGTTTAATATTGTTATGTAGAGATATATAGCCAAATCACATGTTTAATATTGTTATGTAAAGATATATAGCCAAATCACATGTTTAATATTGTTATGTAGAGATATATAGCCAAATCACAGGCTTAATACTGTTCTGTAGAGATATATAGCCAAATCACACGCTTAATACTGTTCTGTAGAGATATATAGCCTAGCAAATCACACGGCACTTACATGACTGATCTTATCTCAGTGTTAGTGTTAGAGGACTGAATATTTCTACAGCATCAAAGACTGAAATAAACCTCTATCAGACAACAATAGGACAAAAATAACTGAAGCTAAAAGCTGGCAAACAACTGACCCCACGAAAAGTAAATATCTCTGGCGGACAATGATGACACAGTCAGGGAGCAGAATGTGCCCTCTTTGCTCTCCCTCTCTTCCTCTTAGTTTAAGCTCCCCAGAAGAGGCCCTTTGGGAGAAAGGAAGGAGAGGCCCTGCAGAGGGAGTAACTCCTCTGGAAAAGGGGGACTTGATTGCGGAGGATCTTCCTCTCTCTCGTCTTCTCTCCTTCCTTCTTCTCTCTCCCCTTCCCCTCCCCCATCTCCCTTGTCTCTCTCTTTCTCTCTCTGTGTCTCTCTCTTTCTCCCTCTCCCTCCATCCACCAGATGTCAGGTTGCATTGCCACATGGATTACAAGCAGCACTCAGCAAACACCTCCAGGTGTGCATTCCTCTCTGGGGCTAACTGAGGTGGGAGCCCCTCCTCTGCACCAATAAAAACACACCGTTTCCCCTCTAGGTGCTCCTCTTCACTGGGGTTGTCTGCGTCCCAAATGGCATCCTATACCCTATATGGTGCACTACTTTTGACCAGGGCACAATAGGGTCCGGGTCAAAAGTAGTGCACTATATAGGGGATACGGTGCAGCCCTATGGGAGCAGTCCTAGGGGCCCTGATCAAAAGTAGTGCACTATATGGGGAATCAGGTGCCATTTGAGACGCACCCTTGGTCTCACGGGACAGGAGAGAGGCCGTAGGCTTAGAATTGTGTTAAGTGCACCACAGTGGACCACTAACCCCTTTTTAACCGTCAAGTAAACTGGTGAGTCAAGACCAGAGACAACGACCTCCTTTCTACAAAAAGCAACACTGTCTGACAAA